TTTTTTTTTTTTTTTTTTTTTTTTTTTTGTTTCACTTCTAAGGTCACTTTAATGCTTCGTGCGTATACATGGATTGACGTATGTATGTGCGTGTGAGTGTACGCGTGAAAGTGTGCAAGCTGGTTTAATCCCCCACTTGCGCAGGGGCAGGCCCACTAACACCTGCACATGTATATACACCCCCCTTCCCTCGCGCATGCCGCTGCTTGAAGAAAAGGAAAAGTGAGGTAGCCGAAAGGGGAATAAGACATTTTTGTTCCGCACCCGTTTTCCGCCTTTCCCTGGCGAAAGGGGCATGGCTGAACAACGCTAGGTGGATGTTCTTGTGGATTTTTTCTCTCCACCCTTGACCTCTCTCAGGTGTGCATTTCTTCTGTACGTTGTGTACATCCATTTTACTCGCGCGATAGTTGTGTATGCATGTATATGCATTTATTTTTTGTGTGTGTTGTTTGGCACGTGCTGTGGTGTATTCCCTTCTACGAACGGAGCATATGCCCGATGAGTGCGCACCCTTGTCGGGAAGTGTAGGCCTCGAGTGCACCCCGGTGACGCCACATTCACCACTGCTAAGCACATTGGACAATCCAAACGCCATCCGCGCTCCGACTCGTTAGCATTTTCACACCCCTCCACACACAATCATACACAAACAGCAGTGTAAGGCAAAATGAATAGGAACGAAGAAATTCTGTCCAAGGCTACGCCGAATTTTATATACAAATTTTTTACAGATGGCAACTCAGAGGAAATGATAGGTTGGTTGAACACACAGGTGACGTTAATATGTTTCAGTCAAATGAATGCTGGGGCCAATCAGATTTTTTTAAAAGTGATCGATGGAACAATCCCACCGCAGTACTATGCCATTGTACACGTGGGGATGGATGAAGGAAGCATGACCACTACACCACCCATCTCTTATGTAAAAAAATTAATAGCCATAGAAAACTTCTCCATCACAAATTACTATGGAAAGCTTTTTATATTAACAAAAAAACTTAGAGTACTTATGAGCGTAGACTACTTCGACATTGAGGACTTGTTTAGGAAGTACCAACTGCAAAGTATTTCCTACCTCCTAATGAACACAAAAGGTGAAAACGCCTCTAAAGATGGGGGTTCTAGACCTGCGAGCGAATATAATGCGGAAGGGAAAGGCAGAACCAGCAGCATGATTTCTCGCTGTTCAAATGAATTTGGAAATGAAAGCAAAACAAGCGAGGGTAATTATTATCCCCGTGAAGGAAGTGCAGGAGCAGAATACAGTAATAGTGCCATTCCGCCAGCGAGGTATTCTATGTTGAGCGATCGCCAGGAAGGGGACACCAGAGCTGACCACTATGACAGGTGTCAACGAGTACCTGCAGAAAATTTGATCAAGGGACCAATGGCCAAGAATGGCACTACACCATATGGGGATAACCCCCCTTGCGCAGAGAGGTTGCCGTATGGGGAACCGCCCGTCGCCAGGGACGCCCCCCAAAATTACCACCACGGAAGAATGGCAGAAGATATGGGAAGGGGGAAGCAATTCCCCGATAGGTTGAATGATCCCCCCAGCCTGGACAAGTTTTCTCAGAGTGAGAGCTCAGCTAGTCGCGATTATATACCGTACGGTGGAAATGAATTGGACAGGAACCCTCACGAGGCCACATCTGTCTCGCACCAAAGGAACCCCAATTCGCAGAGTGTACACCAGCCGTACAACAAGCGAAACATCACCACTGTCTATGACCCAAAGAGTACAAACAGTGCAAATAGTGCAAATAGTGCTTATGGAAACAACCACTACAGTAACGGTAAGAGCAGGACGCATAACATTGCAGGAGAGCTGAACAACAGCAGAAGTGGTAGCAGTTACGACCGCGGAGTTGGCTCCCCCATGGGCTCAAGCGTGTACAGAGAAGAACCTCCTTTGGGGGAAAGTATTAGTAGAAGTGAACCCAAGGTGCGTATGAGCAATACGAATGCCTATATGTATGAGGGGGAAATGGAGGAGGGACCACCTGGGCCGGGAGCAGCAAGTGTCGGGGAGTACAAGGGCCGATATGCTTCCACTGGGAATAACCCGGAGAGGGGTCCCCCCCCCGAAGAGAGGAGCTATTACCAAAGTGCACGGGGGAGCAACAATATGAGCAGGAACGCAAGCGGGGTACGTGACTACCACTATCCCCCACGTGATGCAGAAGAGGGTAGCAATTGTAGAACTGTAGACGATGAGGCGTATTACGGAAGGACAGGGACACCACACGGGAATGGGAACGGAGGGGGAAACTCAAATGAAGTGGGCGCGAAAATGATTGGGGTGGGAAGAAATGATAGAAATTACAACGGGGATGTGGCGAAGCTTAGTAGAAGCGACGGGGCGATACACGACAGATATGTTCCTTCTGAGGGTGCGCCAGGTGGAGCAGGTTACGGTCAGAGGGGCGTGAGCAATTACGGTCGATCCGGCATAGGAAATGGACACCGGGGAGGGGTAGAACCAAGCAAGAGTACAAGAGGAGACAGCATGGGAAGTCTGCAGGATACGAAGGAAACACTAAACGACATGGAAGAATATCCTGGGGACAGGAAGAGTGACACGAGGAGCATGTTGAGAGAGAATACGTCCATTAGGAACACTAGGAAGTGTACCCCCTACCAGCAAACGAATAATCCCGTAATAAAAATTAATGATGGCATTTTAATGCAAATAAATAAGCTGTCCCAGTATTCATCCAAATGGATAATAAAGGCGAGGGTTCAGTTCAAGGACAGAGTGCGAAAGTACTACTCAGGAAACAAAGAAGGAAAAGTATTCAACATCGAATTATGTGATGAAGATGGAGAGATTAAGGTAAGCTTCTTTGGCAAGGCAGTGGACAAATGGTATGATTATCTTGAAGTAGGAAAAATTTATAAAATAAGTAAAGGATACATCAGGGCAGCCAACAGAAAATTCAACACACTTAAACATGATTACGAGATTACGCTGGACGAAAATTCAATTATAGAAGTCTTGGAAGAAAATGATAGCATCCCCAAAATTATTTACAATTTTACATCTATTGACACCATAAAAAATATGAATACGGGTTCTATAGTAGATGTAATAGGAATCATATTCAGCTTCCAAGAAAGCACACAAGTATTGATCAAAAGAACAGGACAATATAAAGATAAGAGGGACATTGTTCTCATAGATGATAGCAAGGAAACTATTGCTGTAACTCTGTGGGGAGAACATGCTTTACAAATTGAAGAAGAGTACCTGAAGGATAATAGCATTATTTGCTTTAAGTATGTAAAAGTTGGAGAATGGCAGGGAAAAAAGCTGGAGTCCCACCCCAAGACCAAAATCGATATAAACCCAGCGATTGATAGAGCCAATATGCTAAACAATTGGTGGAACAGTAACAAACAAAGCCTCTACAGCTCTTTGAATATAAGCACAAGTGTATGGAACATTGACGTACAAAAAACTATTGAAGAAATTAAAAGGGATGTGAATTTGGCTAATGAAGATGCTTTATCAGGGAAAGGCATCGTTTTTACCGCTTTCGGTTTTATTGATCATATTTATAACTCCATCCCTGTGTACTCGGCTTGTCCCGATTGCAATAAAAAAATGATTACAAACGTCGTGGAGGAGGAAGAGGACGACGTTAATTCGTCCCATATGATGAACCAAGCCATGTACTGTTCCAAGTGCAATAAAAATAACATCCCCGTACATAACTACTCCATGAACCTTAAAATTACAGACAGCACGGACTCCATAAGGGTCACCGCCTTTGCTGGGTGCGCTCGTACTATCATGAATGGCCTGTCCGCTGATGAATTTATGGCCCTCAGGCAGGAGTATATAACGCAGGAGAATATCGAGAATTTCGATCTGATTGAGAAGGCCAAGCTGAATGAGTTTTTCTTCCGCATCAAGGCGTACGTGACGTCGCACATGGACGAGCTCAGGAAGAACTACACCATCGTCGACATTATCCCCCTGAACAAGCTGCTCGTGGACAACTGCAAGTATTTGGTCCGCTCCATCCGCAGCTTGACGGAGAAGCAGTGAGGAAGTGGTGACACACCCGACGTGGAAGCCAAAGTGCGACCCGTCCAGAAAGACCCTTCCAACTGCACATGCACGAAATGCGTCACGGGTATCTAGCCTTCGCCCAGAGAGCTGTACAGTCTACACGCAGAGCTGCTCCATGGATAGGCACGCTGTCTTCGTGTATGAACGCATATCTTTCCCTTTTTTTTTTTTTTTTTTCGGCTCCTTCTTTGTGTTAAACTTTTGCCAACGCATACAATTCATTCTTTTTTTTTTTTTTTTTTCCTCACCTGCCCCGGCAGGGCCATGTACATTTACATGTAATGTTCACCCCGTGTGTATGATTTCGTGGGGTAAAAAAAAAAAAAAAATAATAATAATAAAATGTAAAACAGAGGGAACCTTTTTCTTTAACATCTTTTTGTTTTATCCTCACTATGCCCTTTATCTCTATCTTTCTAATTTGATTTTCTTTTTTTTTTTCCCCTTTTTTTTTTAACTGAAACTGATGATGCACTCCGCTTGATTGCGATCATGATGTGCCACACTCTGCTCTGGGACAGGCGTACTCGACAGGAATACGCTAGACGCATACTCGGCAGGCAGGAATGGTCGCCATTTGGCAAAAGCAAACTAGCGGTGTTACTTGACGACTGGCTTGCGCTGTGAGGAAGTTAATGAGGTGGGCTGCCCTTCGCACGGGAGCACAAAGTAGAACAGCCTCTACATGCTACGGATACGTCTAGCGTTTCGCAAGAGGAAGGGAACGCGATTTCGTTTGCCAACCAAGAGGGAAAAACATGAACCGCTGATCCATGTACCCACATCAGCGTACCTTCAGGTATGCATTGTTATAGCAGGTGTGTATATTTGGAGGCACTCCCTGTTGCGGACCCACCAAGCAACGATTTGAAGGAGCCCGCGGCAAGTTGCATCGGGGAAAAAAACAATATATTGCATTGTGCATAGCCCACCCCCGTGTTCTCAATTTAGGCCAGGAGAACAACGCGCGTGGGTTAATTCATGACATAGTGGATTTTGCCAAGTGACCAAAATTACACAGGAGGAAGTGCAACGGGTGAGAGCATAAAAAAAAAATTTATTGACGCGCAAAGGAAAGGTAACCGGCATGCAAAACGAGTGGTTTGTAGAGGAACGCGCGCAAAAACAAGGGCGGAAAATCGGAAACATTATGTAGGAAGAGCTGCGATAGAGGGGCGACAGAGCGACGACAACGGAGAAAGAACGAGAAGAAAAACTACCCAACCCGTGCAAATACCAAAGTGCAAGGCTGTCAACTCCACCCAGGATCCACCCAACACACATTCCTATTTTAACGGAAAAGAAGAGTTAGGCGAATAGGCCCTGAATTGTAGGTCCACCTGACCAGCCTGATTAGAGACCCCACCTCCGACCCTTTCCAAGATGCTCGATTACGTGAAGAAGTACATATACTTCGAACTGCTGCTAATTTTGCGGGTGGTGAACTACTACGTTCCGTTAGACAGGTGCTTGAATATCGCAGTAATATCTTATCTGACCTTTTTGGGGCTCATTTATTTGGCCTTTAAGTTTAGGTACCGTGGGGGTAACGGGTCGAGTAGCGTCACTTGGGCCTTTGGCGGAAAGCACGTATGTATAGTGGGTAAGTTCGCGCGGACGGCGGCGTGAGTGCTGCTTGTCCAGTATGGCCGCGTCGCTTGGCACGCGTTCACCCCTCCCACACACTCTGTCCAATGTCCTCTTCAGGTGGGTCCGAAGGCTTGGGTCTCTCACTGGCCAAGCGAATCGTTCGAGAAAAGCCGCACACCCTAACTATCATGTCGAGGAACACCACCAAGCTTCGCACAGCTAAGGGAATTTTACTGCAAGAACTTAATATACAAAAGTCCCACAAGGATCCCCTCCAAATAAACATAGTTAAATGCGACATCGGCATGAAGGAATCCATCAATGAGGCTTTCCAAAATATCCGAATGAATAATAGTATAGATAAAGAAAAGGATCAATGGGGAAACCAATTGATGGGAAGTACCCAAATGAATTACCCGCTCCACTCTCATGAAGAGAAGGATGAAACTTTAAATGATGTTGATGTCCTTATCTGCAACGCTGCCTATGTTTGTACAGAAGAAAATAGTAAACTTCAAATGTACGATTTGCTATACACAGTAAATACAAATATTTACGGGAATATTGATATCATCTCGAGGGTGATTACAAAAATGAAGCAGAATAGAAAAGGAATCATTTTGTTTATTAATTCTGAAGGAGCACTTTATCCTGTTTATGGTTATTCATATTATTTAATGAGCAAAACGTCCTTGTGGACATACACATATATTTTGGATCAGGAGTTGAAACACTATAATATACATTTTTCGAATGCGTTTCTCCCATCCATTAAAACTCCTGGGTATGCACAGGAGAATTTAAAAAAACCTTTTGTCACGAAACGGATTGAAGACTTAACCACCACTGTGGATTCAGATTATGCGGCTGATAAAGTAGTTCGTAAAATTAAACAGGGGAAAAAATTCATAACGCTAGATTTTAACGGATTCATGTTGTCTGTTTTGCACAGCGGTTATAGGAACCCGGAGTCTTATTTTGATTACTTATTTTGCGTATCATTCTGTGGCGTCTTTGTTTTTGTTTCTTCCCTGTACAAACTGTACATCGAGCACATAATCCGAAGGAACGCCTTCCACCACCCGGAGGCAATACGCACTGGGGGGTACCACTCCCGGGTCTTTTCCCCTTCAATTTGACTGCCCAAAATTTTGGGTTACTTTTACAAACATATTCGTTTCCTACATTGGTTAATCTTTTTTTTTTTTTTTTTGCACCACAATATATGTTATTATGTGACTCATTTATTTTCACCTGGGCAATCACTTACATGAGTACTGTCCATACGTATAGTCGTGTTCCTCCTCCAACCGCGGCAGGTATCGCATTGGGAGGGTCCCGTCCTTTTTAAAAGGAAAACTTTTTCGCTGTTTGTTATTTCACATGAGTGTTTTTTTTAAAAGCAGTAAAGAATGGGCACGTGCGCAGGTAAGCGCAGGCATACACATATACATACACATATAAACGCATGTACACGTGGACATGTACGCGTGTGCGCGCCGGGAATGAGCACAACGGTGCACACGTGGCACACTTAAGGGGGATGGAAGGGTTAAAAACAAAAATTGGAGAGGGTGGATAGCCAAAAGAATGCAAAGGTGAAGCGCTTAAGCTTTGGGTCTCAACTTGTCTGATATCCATTTCTTGGCACAGGAAAAGGTGGAGGAGTAATTTCCCCCTGTCGCTTCCGTCCCACCAGGCTGGTACGAATCGGCCGACTGGTTACTACTGTTGATTATGTTATCGAGGGGGGAACCTACACCTGAGGAGTTGACCTTATTCGTTGTGTCTTCCATTTTATAGGACGGGTTACATGTTTTGTTCGTGCTCATATTGGTACTGGTCATGGTGGACTGGTCGAAGCTGCCCGTATGCCTTGCTGATCCTTCCCCACTGGAGTGTGCAATATTCATGTTGTGCAGTCGTGTGTCTTTGTTCACTTCTCGGTGTGTTTCTGCACGATGAGCTTCCCCACCTTGCCTTGTCGATTTCGGAGGGGGTGGCGGGATAGGTACGTTGGAATCGCTCTTTCCCTCCCAATTGTTGACGTTGTTTTTTTTTTTCTGAGAGATAGGTGGGGGTTCCGGGACGTGATTCTCTGCCCCTTTGGCGGCTCCTGCTTCACGGGAGGTGCGTACATTGGCTCCGTTGTCCCTGCTGCCACTGTTACCATTGTTACCACCACCACCACTGCTGCCACTGCTGCCGCTGCCGCCACTACCGCTAGTACCGGTGTTACCCAGGTTGGCCGTCTCCGAGGTGTCGTCCCTTCCCTGGTTCATCTCAATTCGATTAAACTCCTCAATCAACTCGACCTGTCTGGGGGTCAACCTGTCTGGGATTTTCAAACTAAATTTTACTATCAAGTCCCCATTGGTATGGGAATCAACCTTGCAAGGACCTTTTCCTTTAAGTACTCTCTCCGAATTAGGATAAGTTTTTGGTCTGATAAGGAGATCCATATCTCCATTAAGCGTGGGAATTTTAATGACCCCACCAAGTAAGCACTGCTTCATGGTTAAGGGGACTTCCACATGTATATTGTCATCAACCCATTTGAATATTTTATGAGGTTCGATATTTATAGTAACAAACAGGTGCCCATTTTTCCCACCTCTATAACCTGAGTGTCCTTGATTTGGTATCCTCATTTGCATTCCTTTCTTAATTCCTGGAGGGATGTCTAGGGTAATATTTTTGGTTTGAAATTTCACTCCACTTCCAGAACATTGCTTACAAGGGTTGTTAATAATTTGTCCATTACCTGAGCAGTTTCTACAAGGGACTCCAATAATAATTGGCCCCCTCTCAATTCTTTGGATCCCTGACCCGTTACATACTTTACAAATGGTTAAATTGGTCCCTGGTTTTTTTCCTGAGCCATTACAATTATTACAAGATACTTTGACATTCAGACGGATGTTTTTCTCACACCCCTTTATTGCTTCCATAAATTTGAGAGTAATTTCTGTTTGAATATCTTCTCCCCTGGTGGAAGTCGTTTTAGATCCAGCCATGTTACTAAACATTTCAGCAAAATCAGTGAACATGAATGAGGCATCTCCAAATCCGGAAAAGGCTCCTTCGAAGTTAGAAGCAGATCCAGCAGACGCATGTCCATCATAATTCATATCATCTGTCATTCCTGTTTTGTCGTAAAATTCTTTCTTCTTTGGATCTGACAAAAGTTCGTATGCTGCCGTTATGGAGGCCATTTTTTGCTTTGCATCTGGGGATGGATTGATATCTGGGTGATACTTCTTGGCTAGCAAGCGAAACTGCTTCTTAATTTCATTTGTCGTGGCGTTCCGGGACAAACCCAGCACGGTGTACGGGTCTTGGTTCAACCATCTCCTAGAGATATTTATGCTTCTCCTGGAGAAGTGCCAAGGGAGGGCACCACACCCTCTATTCGTGCTACCACTTCCGATGACGCTACCGCCCCTGAACACCTGCGTGAATATAGTCCGCTCCAGCAGCAACTTTTCGTTCCACCCCTTTCTCAGGATTCGCAGCGGGGCTACCATCTTCGCATCATGTCACAGGGGGAAAAAATGGCGCCAATGTTGTGCCACTGTATACATTCAAACAGGTTTCCAAAGTGTTTCCGATGTGCCGCCAATACGATATAAACGGGGGGCAACCCTGCCGGGGATCTGCCAAACGTGTGTATACTCTGCAAATGACGCGGCGTGCTGACACTGTTTATACCTTTACATTCGTGCCAGCCCACGGGATACTCCCACGGGCGCGCTGCTCAAAATGGCGTACGGGGGTACGACTACACCGGGAGGGAAGGAAGCTCTACGAAGGGAAGTCACAATTGTGGCTTATCTCGTTTCAATTGAATGAACGGGTACAAAACAGGAGACGCGCTTTTGTGCTGGCCTGCGAACAGAGGAGTGATTTTCTTTTTTCCTCAAATATGGGGGGAACACATATACTCGGGAAAAAATAATTAACACTTGTTGAAGCGCAGAAAAGGGATGTCGCAGGGGTTCCTGGCAGATGTGGATCGGCAATCCATTTTTTCGCGAGGGACCTACGCCAAAGGGCGGCATTAAAAAAGGGCAAAGCAAAGAGGGGTAAGCAGAAAGGAGGCCATCCTCTTGTGAGGAAATATAACTAATACAACTCACCAAATGGAAAAAAAAAAAAAAAAAAGAAAAAAAAGAAAAAAAAAGTGTTTCTCCTCTTCCGCGTATGTATAGCCAATATACACGCTGCGCACCACGCCCACGGCGCTTTAACTGTGCCTACACCATTTAGTTCTTGGCGTGATACCGTAAAAGCCCAATGAAAATGCACAAAAAAAAAAAAAAAAAAAGGGAATAGCCATGCTTGCGTGCATATGCAATACAATTGGGGTGATAACTTTTTACGGGTAAACGCTGCCAGGTGAAGGACACTCTCTCTTTAACATATAAAGTGTTAAAATTTTCGGTGCATTCGTAAGGTTTCTACCATTTTTGTTTTTCCTATTTTTTTCTTACGTTATTATATAAATATGGGGTGGAACCATTTTGCTCGTCCTGCTACCCAGCCAAGCGAACCCACGTTGTACATACCTGTTTGGTGCCAAAGTGGGGCGTAAGGCAGGGGGAAGAAACAAAAGTATCGACTTTTTCAGCAGAACAGGAAAGACGGACCATCGTCCGAGGAGTAAAACAATTTTTGACTGAGCCATTTACTGTTACATTTTCTATCTCAAACGGAGGGGACGAACGTTGTTATGTGGGTGTTTGCTGTGTTAGCATGTGCTTAAGCCCAGATACATATTTATGTAACCTTCCGTACTCTTTTAAAATTAGCGTAAAGGGATACTGAAAAGCAACTTTAAAGGATGAATTTTTCTTAATAATTCGCCTTTCGACTGTGGCATTTTATGTCCTTTTTTTTTTTTTTTGTGATAAGTTCCTTACCGATGTGCACATCCTCCTCTTTGTTTCTCCGTCCAAGGAAAGGGCTTTTTACCTCATTGGGTAAAAGAACGGGTCCCCAACGTTATTCCGTCCCTCCATTCGTATAAATTGAGTCATTTGTGAAGGAGCGGAATTGTGCATTGTTCCCATTTTAGAGCATACCCGTGTGGGTACATTCAGAAGGGCAAATTCCAGCGGAACTTCCAAGCGCGAGCCTGAGATGGGAGACAGACGAATGGAGGTCCTGCCAGCTGGGTTTTCGGACTTTCGAGACCGAGCCTACTGGAATAGCTTCTTTCAGTTTTTCGACAAGAAAAATTTCGAGTGGTACGGGAACTACGGGGATGTGCGGCACATCGTTTATCGGTGCATACGGGGGCGGCTGGGCTATTTCGCTGGGGAAAGCGGTGGTGAGGGGAGCAAAAACCCGAACGGTGAAGGAGGTGGCCAATCGGATGACAACTCGCACGGTGCATGGGATCACCAACCGGTGAACAAAAACTGCTTGCTCATAAACTTGGGGTGCGGGAACTCCCACCTGAGCTACGAACTGTTCCAAGACGGGTTCTCCAACATTGTAAATCTGGACTACTCAGATGTAGTGATCCACAAAATGAAAAAAAAGTTCGGAGATAAAATGGAGTTCCTAAATATAGACATCAGCAACTCTGAGCAGTTTGATAATGTCCTATATAAATTGGATGAAGAGTCACAGAAAAAAAAAAAAAAAGTGGATTACAAAATTTTTTTTGACAAAGCTTTCTTAGATGCATATATATCGTGCGAACAAAATGAGGAGGAAATTTGCAAAAGGAATGCCAAGAGTTACTTCTCCACTGTCTTTAAACACATGAACAAAGGGGACCTATTCATTATTATCACTCTTGCTCAGTATTATATAATTAAGGAGGTGGTTCGGAACGTGTACCACGAAGATATCATGTTGGAGGTCTTCCCCTTTTTTTTAAAACACAACACCAGCGAGTTTAAATACCACCCTTTTGTATTCGCCTTCTATCGAATTCCTAAGGGGAGCAAAAAGTTCCAGGCATATATAGTCAATCCAGAAAAGGGTACCAGAAATGTCATTTCGTTGTGGAAGTTACCCAGTGAAATTAACGAGACCAGGGGAAATTTGAATCTTCATATTTTTAAAAAAGGAAAGAGAAGAGTCCTAGACATTTACAATACCAGGTTGAACAGGTGTGATTACAACGTAGTTGTTTACGACTCGTATATCGAACGCGCTACTTACAACACAGTCGTTGTTGTTGTCCCGCTGGGGTACGAGTTTCACTCCCTTTACTGCACAACGGAGGGGAACGAGGAGTTGGCTTCCAAGGCCCGGACGAGGAGGCTCCTCCTGGTGATGAAGTCTAACTTCTTGGCCCCCTCTTGCCAAGAGGGCGGGGTAAAGGAGGTGGACCTTCCTCAGAGTGACAAGCGGGAAAGCCCGGTGCTGACCACCCAAGAAACGCATGTGCACCATGGCGTGTGCAATGGGAAGGAACAAAGTGGTAAGGGGGATACGGGCGATGCAGAAGTGAAGGCACAGAAAATATACCCGCTCGAGAATAACCAGCTGAGCGGCAACAACCAACTGCACAGCGAACACTCAGTTAACATCCTACTGGAGTCCATCAAAAATGAGCTCACAAATATTTTGAACGAGGTGGCCCTTCCCAATTCGGACAATTTCCCCATCATGGTGTTAAACGAAAGCGTAAAAAACTGCAAAGTGATTGCGCACAGGAAGTCGCACTACGCGTCTGGTATCATCATAAGGGACGTCCTCGTAACGGAAGAGTTTCTCGCGGAAAATTTTAACTCAGATGAGGAGCAGGACAGGGGCTTCAAATGTGAGAAAAGTAAAAAGAAGCGCAACGGGCAAGGGGGTACTCAAGGGAGAAGCCAAGATGCAAACGCACAGAGAAGCCAACAGCACGATGTGGAGGAAACCCTTCAAGCTATTCTGAAAAACAAACAGGAGAGACGCTGCTATTTTGAAAAAAAAGAAATTTACAAAAGGCAAATGATATTTTCATACGACCCATTGACAGTGCAGTCCGAGCTAGTATACACTCGACAAAGGGAAGAGAAAAAAAAAAAAAAAAAAAAAAA